GGATACATACCCATACCGGGATACGCACTCATACCAGGATAAATACCGTTGCCTTGATATATACTACTGCCTAGATGTGAAGAGGTTGACTGAGCCAATGCTAATCCAGCGACAGCGAGCAGTGCCTGCGTAATAGTTTAATTAAGAAATTAATAAGTATGTAAAGTGATTAATAAGTTCATATTGTGACGTAAAGTAAAGCAGGCAGCTTACAACTTACGATAACTAGTCGTTCCTTGATCATTCTTCTGTTTCTTATCAACACTTCTACAGCAGCGAACAGCAAAATTGGAAATTGTAATCCGAAAGAATTCTCAAAGCAGTGAGTCACTGAACTAAAAAAATGAGATTTTTCAAAGTCTAGTCAACAGTAGCTGCTGAATATTTGATACGATCGCACAGCATGCAGTGCTTTTCTCGCTGATATATCTTGTTCAGAGCTTAAAAGCAAGAACAAAACTTCAGCTAAGTCCTCAGAGAAACAATATGCACTTTGTTTAAGAAAACTCTCAGGTTAAATATACCGGCGTTTGCAGTTGTGTTTTGCAATAAAATTAATTATGCAACACAAAAGCACTCATTAAAACCACGAGAACCTTTTTAAAAAGAATTTTATTTTATTTTGTTTTTTTTTTTCAAATAAAATTTCGGCAGACTGAATTCTTTATGATCTTTTCTTTTTTTTTTTCTTAATTAGAAAATTTAGGAATTTTAAATTCTTCTCAAAAAACCGTTTATTACCTTGACAAAGAAAAGAATTAATAATGAAAAAAGAGACACTGAGCAAAACTGACATCTTCCGGAGATTATTTAAAATTGCAAGCTGTTTTAAACTAGATATAAGCAAAAAGCGAAAGAAACGAGAATTGTTTGTTTATTTCCGCTCTTTGCAAATTTTATTTTTTAAACTTGATTACAGTGTTTGCGTCGTACGTATGTCAAACCAGTAAATGCTTCAGTCGTTTTGAAAGTTGCTAGATAGAGGCTAAAAATGAATAGTAAAGAAATGGTTATTGACTTCAAAACTTGCGTTAAGTAAGAATTTTGAGCATGTTGGCCAATTATGGCTAAATTAATAAGTATCTATTACTTATTTAAAATTAATAGCACTTTTTCAGTTGCAAACAACAAAGTTAGAATAAACGAAACGATTATATAAACATTTTCAAAGCTCTATAATGGTTTCCAACAGCTTTACTGCGACCTTATTTTTTGGCTGTATAACCTAGCCGAATCAGCAAGTTTTTTTCCCATTCCAGATAAGAAAAATATTTGATTACTGCAGTTTTAACATAGTGATCTGTAGCTTATTCCCAAACTTCCGTTTTCAGAAATCTTTGAAAATTATCTATTTTGCACAACGATTCCATTTTTAGTGAAAAGTGTGACTTAGATAGGAATGTTTTTTCTTGGACAACACATCGTCTCCAAGAATTTTTTCTTGACAACTGATCGTTTAGAAAATCAGTGTAGACATTTCAAGTAAGTATGTTTTTCTGACCAAAAAAAAATAATTTACTTATCAAATTTGAATTTAATCTTTATTGCTGAATAAAATATTCATTTTTACACGAAAAATTTTTGGTTTAAACAGAGTTAAAGCTATTGTTCAAATTACATTAAAAGCTAAAATAATATTTTCTTGTCACTTAACAATCGACTAAATAATTATTTCACTCAAACGTCTTGTAAACTTATTTATTAGTTCACTTTTCTTTCTAGAGCTGAATAAGATTTGCATTTCATAAAAAGTGTTCTCATCAGTCACCAAAGGTATTGTGAGAGAATAATTTGCAGACATATCAGCTTTTCAAACGTTTGATTCCTTTATTTTTATTACAAACTTCGCAAATCGGTTTTCAAAAGTGCTGAATTTCTTATGCCAATATAATAGTTTTACACTATTCTAGAAATCTGCTGCTTAGTAAAGTAATTTATCCAGTTACTTGCAAAACAGAACACACTGCTTTGATAAGATGCTGCTTCATTTCCCTGGATGCTTTACCAACGTGGAAACTAAATAGTTGAAAGTTTTTATTTGAATCTAATTGAATATATGCTGTATTGCATTAAGTAGATTACTAAACATCTGCCGTTCTTTAGCTTCTACTTTTTTACCAATTTTGAATGTATTCTTTCTCAATTCGTTTGTCAAAGTAAAATAGAACAAAATTGGATAAAAGTTAGTAGCAACACGTTGAAAACTACCACTGCTGCTTGTGCAATATAGTGCAAACATAAAAACCTAAAAATTTAAATGCAAAAAAATTTTTAAAGTCAATTTCTAAAAGTTTTAAATTATGTTTTTTTTCTTTTATCAATAACAGATTGAAAATTTCTGGTAATGTAAGTACAGCAGAATTGTTCACCTGTTTTTCTCAATTTTTTAGCAAGCTTTTATAGTGCTTTCTGCTGACATTTTGCAGTTATAACGCATTTTCTTGCTTCAGAATACTCTAACTAGTATTTCTAACATTTTTACTTGTTTTTGTTTGATTTCAAATGGTAATTTTTTGCAGTATTCACAAATGTTCTGTCAAATTGCAATTGTCATTCTGAGTCGGTAGAGATCTGGTTTTTTTTTTATTTACCTGTACAGCGATTTACAGTTGTCTACTTCTCTTTCTCTTCTCAAAAATTAGGTAGCTTCAACTTCTAATTACAAATGAAAAGTTTGTTTAAAAAAAAGAGGCCGGTTTTGAATTACTGCACAGCAACACAGTTGTGCTAAACACGTTTTATCTCTTACCGCTTGATGAATTTATACGATATC